TCATCATAAAATAATCCAACACACCTCCATTTTTTTCAAAGGGTTAGTCTTTTTGAGCCAACTCTGCAGAAGGAACTTCCCAGCACCATTATGTCATCAGGTACAAGAGGACGGAGAGAGGGAGAGAGCTGCAAAAGAAGCTATTTTAATTACATCTGGCAGATTTACTCGCCTAGCTGGGTTTAAAGCATAGGCAGCCCGGGCCAACGGGGGCCGAAGTGGCCGTCGTAAAAATGACTCATGCCAGGCAGGCGTGGGAATTAAGGTGGGCAGTCGGAGGCTGTTCTGTAATGAGGACAAATAGCTGGGAAGTTTGTCGTCTGACAGAGGGGTCTGCAGCTGGCCGGGGGGATATGCAGAGTGCAATGCTTTCAGCGCCGTGACATTTCAGCTTCACCATGACACCTCAGGGAGGGGGGGGGAGGTTACATCCAAGTAGTAAAAGCACCTGAAATGTTTAGTAATGCTATGCAATTTAAAACAGGGACGATCAGCTCCACATGCGATAATCCCTGTTATGCAGATTTGTTTAAACATGTATGAAATATAAGAGTTTATTGGTAATTAAATGTATCGCTTTGTTGAAATACTCACATTTTGTTATTTGTTTCTATTGATGCAATTCTGTCTTCAAACACAGCGAGGAGAGTATTTATTTTTTGTGGAAGAAACACAATACATTTTAAATCGATAATTTTCATTAATGAAATATTTCTTCAATCGATATTTTGGGTTAAACTATGAATTACTTTAATAGCTGTGTAAAATGCTATAATGTTCAGCGAGCAAGTCATTATTGTGAAATGAACTGCGTCAGGGTGAGGTTGAATAAACATTAAGGGGTTAGATTAGCTTGCTCATTTGAAATGCTATAGGTGAAAATCAGTAGTTAAAAATCCAGTTCAAAGTCAAAATGTCTGTGGCTGATATGCAGCATAATCACCATCTACGGTGATACGTCTCACTTTATTAGAACACAAGCTGTAACACCTGACTGTTCGGGGCGCACTCCTTCTCAATCAGTGACAGGATTATTTCTGACAAAAAACATTATGACACTCATTACTTGCCATCTGATTCAAAAGTCATATCATTCACTATCAGCTCTCTTTCAAAATTGGCAATTACATCAGTGTGCCAGTGCTGTGCGGATGATCAGGGTAACCACAGGAATGAATCCGTCCACCCGAAAAGTCAACTTTTGTTATCTTTCTCATTTAAACTAGTTAATTGTGAGCTTGTGTCTACCCTCTGAAGATAACCAGTAATTATGATACAAATAAATTGAATGCAACTTTCACATAATTGAATGCAAATTGGATATTTAGATGATTACAAATGTATCCAGCATGAAAAGGATGACATGGCAAGTTGTGCATGTATATTTGACAGTACTTTATTCTTCTAAAAACAAATCAATTACACAGTATATGCATTAGGCTCCATTTTTGTATGTACATTAGCACTGTCATTTTCTCATTATACCCTCATTCATGTAGGTATTTGTAAAGATTGAAATGCAGATGGTGACAACATATCCCAACATAACGGTGTGTATAGTATATGTTGCAGCTGACTTTTGTCAATCTTTATTATATTGGATTCCTGTGTTTTTCTGATTATTTAATTCATTACAGTAGCTTCCTGTCTCTTCCTTTGTACACATACTGTAGGGACAAGTATAGGCGATGTCTTGAGTTGTGTGTCAGTGTGTTTGTGTGGGTGAGCATGACACAAAGAGTGCATGTGTAGCGTGTGGCTCATGTAGCAGCTGCTGTCTACTTCCAGTGCCAGATTCGAATGGTGGCCTCTGAGAGGGCCGTCGTAAGATGGTGGGCGCAGACGCACGTGTGTCTCTGTGTGTTTCTATATTTTCCGGTATTTGCACGGTGTGAAAATCACCCACAAATGTTCTCTTCTTTTGAGCTTTGATTTTTGTCATTGTGTCACCGCCTACACTCTTTTCTCATCTCGCTCCGTTGTTCTGTCACTCTCTCCTCTAAACTGTTAGATGTCCCCAAGAATAAATAAGTGATGGAGTGAATGATGTGTAAATAATAACACACACACACACACACACACACACACACACACACACACACACACACACACACACACACACACACACACACACACACACACACACACACACACACACACCATTCACTCCCTGTATGTCATTGCTGTCACTTCTCCCTCTCTCTTTCTCTCTGTGTTTGTAATTGGATTTATAATTCAGAATCACCATCTGTATATTCCTTTATTTATGCCAAAATATGATTATTATTATTACCATTTTGAGTCATTTTAGAGGCTCTTTATCTTTTGTGTACTTAAACTAAACTAAGTGACTAAGTATTTTTTGGACAGTGTCATCTTCAGCCCAACACAACAATAGATTATGCATATAAAAAGGATACACAAATTCAAGAGTAAGAACATTTATAAACAGGTACCATATAACTTGGGCTGTATAGAGTCCCAAATCCCATTTAAGTGAAACTCTATCTAAGTTTTCACTATTTATCGTCTTGCTCCAGATTGATTCTGTGCTTTCATCCTTCTGATTGAGTCAATCTTGGTTGTTTTCCAAATTCTCCTTTTCAGAAAAGTGGATTTTGACTTTTTTCAACTCTTAAAATGTGAGACCATACTCCGCCTGATTCCCAAAGAACTAGAGCCTGTCACTTCAACTCTTAATACTTCTCAGCATTTTTCATTTCACTATCTGTGACATGTTTGCCTACCAATCATCTTGTGAGATTATTCAGTTGGCGTACGGAATAGGAACTCATTCGGTGCTGACTTGATTTTATTTGCTAACCTATTTGGAACCTGTTACATGAAATTGTGACTTTGTTGTCATTTTTTTTAATGCCCTTTTATGTTGACACACTACTAAGATTAAACCAATCCAATTCTGCTGACCTAGATGTGAAGGATTTGTTTATTTCTGCTTTAATGTATAATCTTAAAGCACTACATAGTCGGTTTCGTCTCTGTCCTTGCAAATATCCTCTTCAGTTGCAGCGTATTATGTATGCAAGTCTTACGTGCGTTAAGAGACGACAAATGTTTGATTCCGACTCAAGTGTGACCTAGTACACTGAGGTAAAGGCATACATTTATTAACACATAAACCATCACACCAAAGTCATGTGATGAATATAACATGGAGATGATTGTTTTTTGTCTCTCATTCCTCAACATGGAGGTACAGAGTGAATCACAGTCTGGAGCTTTACAGTCTGACCCCTGGTCAGTTGAAAGCACTCTGAGGGATTGACAACAGCTACAGCTGAGCAGGTTTATGCTTATGCACAGTATGTGACATGGGCGTTTTACACATATGTTTAATAAACACTTGAACTAGACCCAACACTTATTGTAAGTGCCTAAACAATATGGCTGCCTATTAGGACGATGAGAGGAGCTCATAAGACGAGTGCCTTATGCAACAGGAAAGGTCATAATCCTGTAATAAGAGCACACACGCGCACACACACACACACACACACACACACACACACACACACACACACACACACACACACACACACACACACACACACATACACATACACATACACATACACATACACACACACACCTGTCTGCATCCCTTGACTCCTATCATGTCTCTTTATCAAGTGCTGGCTCGTGTCTCAAGTGTACACTGAGAGTCATTTCTAGTGTCCTTCAAAACCATTATAAATGCTAATCACCTCGTGTTTGTGTACAGTGCGTGCTGGCAGTGTTGTCACAGAGCAGATCATTGCTTCAGAGTAACGCAGCAAACAAGGCTTTGGTTAGAACGGATCAATGTGTTCTAACGGATCAGGTCATAATTCCCTCACTTATCTCTTTTTTTAATTGCTGTGAAACATATGTTTGTGTTGCAAATAATACATTTGACCAGAACAGTTAAGGACAACATTATAATTTGACCTTTGACCAACACACATTTTTACTAAATAGAGCTTTAACACATAAGGTTACTGAATGGAACATGCACAATTATATCTGTGAGCTTTCTGTGAGTACTTAGACATTTTCAAATATTTTCATCTACTTGGTAGAGGCTTGAGATGAATAACTGAAACCGTTTTTATATCTGATTATTTTGATGCCCCTTGTTTTTTTTTGTGAAAGTTTTTTTTGTGTGAAAGTTTTCATTATAAAGCAAAATTATACAGAATGTCATTAAGCAGTCAAATACATACAGAAGATGCAACTGTGCACATTTCAACCAAATTGTCAAATAGCAGATCAAATGTACCCCGCACCCCCACCCCAGCATGAAAGAAAACAAGTAAGTAAGTATACAAGTTCTGATAATAGACAGAAAAAACAAACAAACATACAAAGCAAACAACAAAAGGACAAAATATATACCCCACATTTTTAATTGGTGTGTATTTGCTTACTGTTTGAGTTTCTTGTTTCTTCCTACTAAATCAATGTTATCATTGTTATTTTCAGAAAATAAAGTTTCATTTTATTATTTAGTACACTTGTTCCCTTAAAGGTGGGGTAGGTAATTTTGGAGAAACCAGCTCGAGAGCGCTAGAATTTGAAAATACACAGCCGGAAAAAATCTGCCACTTCCTTACAGAGCCCCTCCTCCAACACACACAAACGCGCACATGACCAATGAGGGCACAAGATAAGTTTGTGCACAGATGGAAGGCTGACAGGCAGGTAGGCCATCCAGTTATTTTAGCCGGGCCGGCTAAAATGATTGGTCGTACTTTTTACAGTATTACGGCTTCCACAGATCATATTTTTTTATGGATTTTTTGTCAAAGCACTTAAGATATTCATTGCTATCGGGATGTTAAGAGCATTCCATGGAATATAACAAAAAGTGTATCTCGAGCCGGTTTCTCAAACTTACCTATACTACCTTTAAGGCTATGTTTTGAAAGGAGATACCAAAGCAAGTACAAAAGTCAGCACATGTTTTAAACATCCCCAACCTCTCTGCTCTTTGTTGACAGCTGCAGCCCAGAAGACCAACCCTAAAAAGATCAACTCCGGCTGCTGCTCTCAAGGTGAGGTGCCTTTCAGATGCATGTTTACCTATGTGCTTGGAGACGTGTGTGTTTGTGAATAATGATCACTTCTGTCCTCAATATGAAATGCTCTTTTCCCCCTCTTTTATGTACAGAGTGTACCCAGACAGCAAATGTATTCACACAGCAATGAAAAGCAACTCAGCTTGACACCTATAATAATATTTAAAATGTATGAAAAGAAAATCATACTCCTTGCTTTTCAATACATATACTAATGATTGATTGCTGCTGCTTCACACCTTCTTCCTGTCGTTTTAAATGTCTTCTGAAACACGTCCACTTTAGCACAGCTTGAGTTTTCTGTGCGGCTAGACACTTTTTTCAGATAAGCCGTTTGCTATCTGTCTGTTTCCCTGGATACCCCCTTTAGCCACATTAGCATTGGAGCACATACTTTAGAAGCTGTTCCAATCGCTGTGCCACATATCTCCATGATCTAGAGACACCATTACTCTTCTTGCAATACGTTTACTGTGTAGCTGACTCCAATAAGGTAATGTATTAACTTGCCACTTCCGCAGCAGTATATCATCCGTACTTAGTCACTCTCCCATTCAGCAGGGCACGAGGTTCAGTCCTTTTTAGCCAATGATTTCCGTACAGTGTTGTTAATATCCTGACTTGTTTGCCATGAAGCCGACTCTCATTTTTCATCAGGGCTGATTTATTTGAGAAACAGTTAAACCAAAGGATAATATCTAATGCCTTTTTTCTGCCCTTCAAACAGAAGCTACATTTACCGCCCTCTCTTTAGCTACGGAAATGGCCCCGGGCAGACAATCCTTCTCAGAGTTGTCAAGAATTAGCAAAGTATAAAGTGATGACTCCACACTGCTTGAATTGCCCCGCAGCATAGTCTTCAGTTTATTCATCAAGTATGTCAATCTGTGAGTCTCTGCATGGTCTAATGTACAGCAATACCCAAAGGGGCAGAGGTTTATACTGTAGATTGGTAGATAGGCGTATCATTTTAATAAAGTGGATTGGATTTGGAGTTAATGGAGTTAATGGGGATTAAGGTAAACAGTTCAGAAACTCTAAGAGACATGTAGATAGATAAAAGGAATCAATACATATACTGTATAGGCTAAGAAAATACATTTAAAAGCAACATATAAATCCATGTTGTCCTATTGCAGACATTTCCTCTCTGTCACAATGAGGCATTTGTCAACACAACAAACTAGCTAATGAACCAACATCATAGTGATGAAAGCCTGATTCACACTTGCAGGGTCTAAGAGGAAAAGTGATGTAACTCATTATCATTGTTACTCAGTGATCAACATTACTAATAGACTAATTACTCAGAAAGGGAGACTTAGTCATTCAAAGGGAAAACAGGATGTGAAAATATTCAAGGTAAATTAACAGGAGCAAGACAGAGTTCATCCTTTCATTGAAGTGACCTATTTGAAATGTTTGAAGTCTCATAGTGACAAAATACATGGAAGCAAATGAGCTCATTTTCAGCTTCTGAAGGTCATTCAAAAGCCTTACAGCTTAACCGTATAAACAACTATGACGATCATTGAAAATCCCTGTTTTATTAGGCTTTAGTTTGACCCTGACTGTGGAGAAGCACTTAGTTTGGAGCTCACAGTGGTCGGTAGCGAGGAGGAAGGAGGCGGCGCGCCATGTTTGCCTTTCTAATTAGTTCTCATAGGAACCCAGCCATTGATTGTTGCAAATGCCCATTGATTTTTAGCTGGGCTCTACACTATCTCACGTTTGTACTAAATGCCACGAGACAAATGACGTGTGTGTGTCGGTGATGTCCGACACATCAGTTTGTCTTTTTGTGTTTAATGTGTGTGCGTGCCCGTGCGGGTGTGTATCTGCATACTTATGTGTGCATGCGTTAAATGAAAATAGGTCTGGGTATAGCTGACAAATAGGGAAAGTTGCTGCATCCCTTTTGGCCCGGGCACCCTAATCAAGAAGCATCGATCTGGCCCGGGGAAACAGTGTGCTTACTTGCACATCCAGATAGCCAAAAGCTATTGGCAAAATGTTTGTTCTCATGGGATAAAATCACAAGACTCCCCTCCCTGTGGTTTTAACAGATCACTATGTCAGAAGGTCAGAAAGAGTGCTACGATTAATCAGCTGGTGTCCGTCAATATTTTTGGTAACAAAATGTTAGGTGATGCCACAGTTCAATACAGCCCTGGTTTATTCTTGAAGGAATAATGCCCACATTGCATACGTTAGAATGTCGATATATCAAGTGCAACAAAATGCAAAGTAAGCCACATGTTCTTGTTTAGCTCAACATAAAGAGCAAGAAGAAATACTTTTTGAATGTGTAAAAGAAAAAGGAAAGTATAATCACCAACTGCCTTCTTACAATGTGTGATGTGTCATGGTTGCTACACTAGCTTAGCCACCTTCAAAATACTCCCTTTTTTAATTATTTGTTCAATTAATTGTTTTGTGAACTTTAAGCTGCTTGCAAATTGTGAGCTTTCTTGTTAATTGTAAAATGTCAAAGAACTGTGCTCAGACTAAAAAGCTCTTAAAGGTCACCTATTATGCAACATCCACTTTTTCATGTCTTTTATACAGAAACATGTGTCCCCTCTGTGTAAAGAGATTCTGAAAGTTTCAGGAAAAAAGATTGGCTCACTTTTTGTCCTGATCCATTTATATAAAAACCTGTCTGAAAATGAGCTGATCAGATTTTGGCCACTTTGTGATGTCATAACGATTCTTTGGCTTGTGTAACCATTAGCCAATAACCAACCAAGGTAACCCCCCCCCCCCCCCCCCCCTTTATCACCTGAATCTCCTCCTAGAGCACCATTGTGTTCTTTTTTAACCAAATATCTCTCAGAGGGGCATGGGGAGTGGCACCTTATTTTCATCTAAAGTAACAGACAGAGAATCAGCACTTTTGAAACAGGGCTGAAACAGTGGGGTTTATGGGATGCTACAATGCATGATCTGTTTGGTATTTTCAAGCAAAACACTACAGAGACATGTTTTGTATATATCTGAGACCTATAATATATTGATGAAAAACAGTATAATAGGGGACCTTTAAATTACAAATTATTTTTCTAATTAATTTCTTTGTGAACTTTAAGCTGCTTGCAAATTGTGAGCTTTCTTGTTAATGGTAAAATGTCAAAGAACTGTGCTCAGACTAAAAAGCTCTTAATTCAGGACTTCTATGTACATCATCAGGCCACACCCTATTTTACTTAACTTTAATATAAAAATGGTTGTGGAAAGTTGAAAAAGGAGAAGTATTGCAAATAGGCAACTGGCTGCTTACCCCCCATGTATAACATCGGCACTACTCAGAAAGATTAGCAGGATCCTGATTATAGGAATCCCACACAGTGTTCGATGTAACCCTGAGGGCTCCATCAGTGTGTTGTAAGCCAGTTGGCTGTATCCAGGATATTGGTTCCAGGGCCTTGATTTTCCACATTAAGTTTGTGATGTGACAGGTATTTCCACTGAGGTTCACGACAGGCTGAATAACTGGCTACTCAGTTTTTGCCCCCGGGTCTCAAAGCACATGTTAGCCTACACTAACGGTGTGGTGGGTGTTGCAACTTCAAGGTGTCAGGTTTGGACATTTGTTACATGTAGCGAGTTGTAGTAATGCTGAAAATGTGGCTATTCTCAGAGGACTCTGGTTGGAATATTTCTATGTTAAATAAATATGATTAAATATTAAAAACAGATGCAAAAGGAATGATTTGTGTGAAAGTGTACTGTCTTTGCCTGTTCACTTGGCTGCAATGTGGCCTTAGGATTAGTTGTCTCAGCAAATGGCCTGCTTTAATGGGATTTGCCTTGTCATTGTTTCCAACACTCGTTTCTGTGAGGGGTTTGAATAATGCAACACTCTGTCCTTAGCTTCCATTTAAATATATCTGTCTGGTCAGCAGAGAGATAGAACATGACGAAGCGGTTCACTCAGAGACAGAGACTGAAGTATAGAAAGGCAAAGGGGCAAAAAGTGGAAGTGGGGGAGGAAGACAGAAAGTTATTGAGAAAAGGGCAGAAAGAGAGAAATGTATCAAGAGACAGAGAAAGATGGATAGAAAGACTTATTGTAGAGGAGAGGGCCACACTGCAGCATCTATAATCAGCTTCGGAAGATACCTAATGTGATTTGTTTAGGTAATGAGACAGGCAGCCATTCGTAATTTTCAGTGTTGGTTCATTTCTGGACATACTTTTTATGCGCTGTCATCCTCATCCTGATAGCAGAGAGGTTTGAGACGTTTATTTGTAGGTGCCTGAAACGTACGTAGACGCACCGTGATGAATGGGGACAGTCCTCCACTGTGGCAGCAACAACAGTCACAGGATTGACTGGAGAGTTTGCAATACTGCTGTCACTACATCACACGGAGAAAAACAGAGCTTGTTTGCTGTCGAAAAACAACCATATGGGCCATATGGTGGTAGATGAAGTTTGGTCTGTTGGACTACCACCACTGTTGTGCAATAACACCTCTGTAAATAAATATATATAATATAATACTAGTATGAAAACTGTTGTGCGATACCAGCTTACATGCAATATACACTTATGGAAAATTACCTTTTTATTATTTAACCATTTATTTACAGGTTATTAACCTTATCAGATCTTTTGATACTTTATACATTCACTTACGTTTCAAAATAATGCTATCTTTCACCATGGTGTACTTGTTTGTCTTCGTCTTGCCTATTGTTTATATTTTTGAATAACGTGTGCTTGCCTTTTTATTTAATATAGTCTACTCTTTTCCTTTTGTGTTTATCGCCACTGTACATTTGCTGCTTCAATGCCGCAAATGTCTCTGTAGCAGGACAATTAAAGTCTGATTCTGAATTTGATGGTCAAACTAAAATTGAGCTGAAGAACTACTTTAAGTCACTTGGCTAAAAATGTGACATATGAGTTTATGCTGTATTGTTCTTTCTAATATATAAAGACAGGTTTGATTAATTTACATTTTTGAAGC